TTGGTAAAAGTCAAAGTATAAAATTTTCATGTAAAAGAGTGTCAAACTCCAAGGTCAAGGTCAAAAGGTCAAATTTGGTAAGAAGGTCTTGTCAAAAGAAATACACATGTGAAATATGAAAGTCAAACAGACAGAGAGACAGCTAGACAGATAGACACACAGACGGACACGACAAAAACTATACATCCCCGAAACTTCATTTACGGGGGCATAAAAATAAATAAAAACGAATAAATACACATAGATTTCATACTATCACATTAAAACTGAAGTGATTTTTGCTTTTACCTAGCTAGTTGCTCAAAATCTTCTCTTCTTCTGGGTATTAAGCCGATAAACTAAGTGAGCAAGTGACAAGAAAATTTGACTCTTCTAGAATTGTGAATTTCATCCATTTCAAATATCACTTTTGTTTTACTTACAAATACACTGACGACAGACACCTTACTATTGCATTCCTTACGGAAGCTCTACTGGTAAATGAGACTATTGGAATGAACATCTAGTATCGATTGAATTATTTTTTCTCATCTGTAGATGTTCACGATATAGATGATTACGCCAGATGGAAGACAGATATATCAGGTGAACATCTCTCAAGAGTGAAAACTTAAAAATTAGGTTTTAATGTATTTTAATGAAAGACTCGCTCACAACTTCCGATTTGGTTCAAGTCGTTTAGGGTGTTCCAAGTCAGCCAGCATTTCTCTGTAATTTACCCTTTTGCTTTAACTCACACGACAGATCCATACGTCTGACAATCAACCTTGACTTGTAAGATGTGATTTCAGTGTTTCATTTACACAGTAGGGTTTGTCAGACATGATGTTCACTAATATTTTTGTTTACATTTCACAATGAAGGATGATGATCGTTTAATAGCCATTTGTGTTTTAATAGATTTACTTCCTCTTGATATAGCTCTACTAATCGTTCAGTTTGTTCCGTAGTTAATTTCAGTTCTCTCTTCTGTCCCGCCAATAGAAAATTTCCTGCCAGGATTTCCCTAACATTTTGATTGCAACAAATAAGATTAATTTATTCTGAATTATCTCTGGAGAAGAAGTGCGGGAAAAAATCACATGTTAGTTCTTCTTTATATAGATTAACCTATCTGACCTTGTCAATGATTGGTTAAAACCATCTGACTTGCCAGAAGGAATTAGAGCATGTCTCTATTCCATCTGACTTCATATCTCTTTTATGATTTTTCTTATTTACAATGTATGATTTGTAAAATGTCAATTCAATAGCATAATAATTAATACTTAATAGTATACACTTATCCACTGGTTGTGAGAGGGGTTATTCTTTTATCAAACATGCGACAGGGACTTTTCCCCAAAGCTTGCCTTGGTTTTCCTTGAGCGGCCCAAAATTAAATTTATTGATGATCGATTTTCATACGTTTTGTCATCATAATTAATATTTGTTGTTAGTAAAAATGTACAAAGTGATTCGGAATTTCCTAAATGACTGTTACTTTTGAATTTTTCAAAGAGAAAAATATTCCTAGGTACAGTCATAGACATATAATATTACTAGGGATGTCAAAATATATATTTTCCTTAGTCGAACATTCGATTGCATTATTCGAACGATAGTCGACTATTCGGAACATTTTTTTCATGATAAAATCTTTATTTCCGTTTTACTTTTGTTTGCATATAGACTATGCAAGAGTTATCCTTCTTTGGTGTATACATTACGTATGCTTTTGACAGATATTCACAGGAACTTGACTTGTAGCTATTATGTTTACATGAAATTATATTTATTTAGTTTTAATATGCATCAAAAACTACCAGCAAGTATTTTTTAAACTCATTTAAATAAAATACGATAAACACAACATCTACACATCAGGTGTGACATTGTTAATACCGATTACGGTATTAACGTTAAAACAGTTAAATGCCCTAGCTTACAACACTACAATGTATGCGTGTTTTTATAAAAGTAATTATCAAAATGTGTCTCTGCTACCGTATGTGAACCTTTGAACATTACTAAAATAACAATATTAATATGGATACATGGAATGTAATGACTAAATAATTGTGTTTTCATTATATATAATTTTAGAAACAAAACCCAGCACAGTGATTCATAATTTATCAGAAAAACAATTGTTATTGACAATTATCAGATTATAGAAGAGCATTTAATATGCATTTATACATTGATAATGAGAAGTCAATAGTTTTTGTTCGGGAAAATAATTTTGTCAACAATTTAAATTCATAATCAAGAGTTATTGCTCTTTATTTTATCGTATTTTATTTAGTCGATAGTCGGTCGCATTATTCGATAGTCGGTCCTTTCGACTGACAGTCGAATAGTCGACTATTCGTTGACATCCCTAAATATTACCCAAAATACGACCAAAATGCAGGATTTGTGACCTCTATTTCAAATTGTCTGGGAAAGGTCCCACATACATGTACCCTACTGATAGGATAGGGAATCCCCTCCTGAACCTAACCTCCTTGTTGCGTCGCTTAGGGACAACTTATACATAAACAGGGCTAGCAGAAATAAGAAATTGCTAGCCCTGCTGGCTAGTATGGTTTTAAGATTAGTTTCGATCTCTGTGACAGTATTTAGAAATAAAACAACTTTTAATAGTTCTATCCCGAACAAACACGACTTGAAAGACTCAGAATAAATTTTTAATTGTATTAATACCTGTCACGATAAGACAGCAATCCCAAATGGGTAACTTTGGTAAAAATATATGAAAGAAATAACTGTTTTTAATGCCGGCCATGGGTATTTGGTACTGGGATATAAAAATATTGTTTCCTAATTAAATTACAAATTAATCCATTTTTTGGAATGTGCCGTGAGTTATGATGATTAAAAGCATTCATCTTTCTCAGCTTTCCCCAATCTTGCTCATTTCCTTATTCACGTTAAAACCGTGATATATGGTATGTGGTATACCGGTATATAACATGATATATTCAGCCCGCACTTATAAAACCCGTGATATTTTTAAAAAAATCTTTACGATGAACACTTCTGTGCTGAATATCTATAGGCATGACAAGTTCACGTTATCTATGACAACTAGCCTAAAAAATATTTACCAAATAGGGGACTTTTTCTTGTGGTCGCTATATATGATAATAATTTGACGATTCCTCCGTAAAAGATTCATTTTGTTACATATTTACATTTGTACGTGTATGATTACTAAAGTATGTTAATCTAAAATTTATGAAAATTCAAATTTTTAGACGGGTTTGATTGATACATCCTCGAACTTTTACAAGTTTTAATTTTATTCTTAATACTTAGGAAAAGTGGCAATCTTGTTGTGTATAAATGAAAAATATTAAAACTATAATCCAGAAAATTCAGTGTAGAAATGTTCGAAAGCAAAACAAACACACAATATATTGTCAGTCCGTGCATTTGTGGTTAGGGAGAGGGCGTTATAAGTTTTCAGAACTTGTGCCTAATCCCTTTGTAATTTTATTACAATAAAATCTGTTCAAATCAACGATTGAACGCACCAGGTGAATTGTAAACATCAACAATAACAGGGCTCGTGCCCTGTTTACAAAAACTGTGTACGTTTCAGGGGTAATTAAATTAATTTGCGAAACTCTGTACACAACACTTAGCTCGGAATGACTATACTTGAAAGGAAGTTTTGCTTTCTAACATTTCTACTCTGAATATAATTTTTTTGGATTAAATTTTTAATATTTTTCATTAATACACAACAATTAAGACTGCCATCTTTCCTAAGTATAATGAATGAAAATAAAATTTGTGAGTGGGCAACGATGTGTCAATCTAACCCATCCAAAATTTGACGTTTAAACAACTTTAAGATGAAATAAGATTTTTAATTTATTTTTGTGTAAAATGCTATTAAAATACATGTCATAATATTATACAAAAGATATTAACTTTAAATCTGTGTTCGTGCACCTTTAATATTTCTTTTATTTTTATTAGAGCTGGTTTTTTCCAGTATGCTCATTTCACTGTACAGTGAACACAAACTAACCATGCATCAAACACTTGCCAAACCATAGGTAGTCACAACAATTTTCATACAGAACTCAACTAGCAGCTGTTTTTTGAGGAAGTAGAAAATAAAAACTCAAAATTCAGAATTAAAAATCGGTAAATGACATATTTCCAACTTCCATGTCGGTGATAAGGACCAGAGCCTGTTTCTCTTTCAACCTTTAATCATTCTCGAAGAGCTAAGATTTGCTTCTTGTTTTGTCCGAACCAAAGCTCGTTATTGTTTTAATTTCAGACTAAGTGGGATTGAACATCATGTTGTTGATTTTCTATAATGAAACTTAAGACTTATTCCTCTTTAGTTTCCTCTTGTACTTAACCTAACTGGTTATATTTTGGGCACTTTGTTTGGAATAGATCACTGTTCTGACTAGTCTTTTAATATCAGTACTGCATTGCAAAATTGAAGTAAGATGTCAAGACTACACCGTTTCTTCTGGTGTTATCCTATATTCATCAGTAAATGTATAAGTACTTTTTTTTCTTCTTTAAAAGTTTTTTGGAAAATTTATATTTTTTCCTCGATGTTGAACAGACATCTCTTAGGTTATATTGCTATATGCAGTTGCATTTATTAAAAAAAACCCTGATAGTTGTGGGTACAGAAAAAAAACTATACGCAAGGTTATGATAAGCAAGGGAGCTTCCTCTAAAATTATGAGTTTTTCGAAAACGGATCAGGGACTATGGTGTATTTTTTTTAGAGGGAAAATGCATTTTTCCTTCAAAGTCTTTTCTTCTTCTGGGGATTAAGCCGATAAATTAAGTGAGCAAAAAGTAACAAGTGATTTTCATCCATTTCAAATATCACTTTTGTTTTACTTACAAATACACTGACGACAGGCACCTTACTATTGCATTAATTCGTTACTGAAGTTCTACTGTTAAATTAGACTATTGGAATGTAGATATAGTATCTATTGAATAATTTCGGTATTTTTTCTCTTTTGCAGATTCTCCCGACTTTATAGGTGATTACGACTCATGGAAGACAGATATATCAGGTGAGAGTGAAAAATTATGTATGTTAAAGTTTTAAGGTATTTCTTGTCTAATGCCAAATTATACAATCATAAAGTTAGATTATACTTTATCGATGTACTCTAAAACAGACTTTGGGTCTATACGAAGTCAAGAACGATGACCGTAACTTCCCATTAATACTCAGAATAAACAAACTGCCCATGCTTTTGACAAATCAGATATGGACATTTAGATAATCTATAAGAATTAACTTAAATCCGTTGTTTTAAACTGTTTTTTTTTTTCAAAAGATCTTTTTAGAGCAGTTAAACTACTTGTATACTATATGTATACAGCAAACTAACAGTAGCCCACTGGCCTGGGACAACTAAAAATTAAGGTTGGGCTACTAAACATGTAAAATTGAATTAATTGATGATCGATTTTCATACGTTTTGTCATCATTATTAATATTTGTTGTTACTAGTCAAAATGTATAAAGTAATTCGGAATTCCCTAAATGACTGTAACTGTTGAATTCTTTAAATAGAAAAAGTATTCCAAGGTACAGTCATAGACATATAATATTACCCAAAATTACAACCAGAATGCAGGATTTGTGATCTCTATTTCAAAATTGTCTGGGAAAAGTCCCCCCATACATGTACCCCAACAATAGGAGAGGGAACCCCCACTTGAACCTAACCCCCTTGTTGCGTCGATTCGGGACAACTAATACATGAACAGAGCTAGCAGAAATAAGAAATTGCTAGCCCTGCTGGAAAGTATGGTTTTAAGGTTAGTGTCGATCCCTGTCAGTATTTAGAAATAAAACGACTTGAAAGGCTCAGAATAAATCTTTAATGGTATTAATATCCGTTACGATAAGACAGCAATCCAAAATGGTGAACTTTGATAAAAATATATCAAAGAAATAACACAGTTTTTAATACCGGTGTAACGTTGAATATAGATCCGAGTTGAAAATTGACCTAGGGGGTCAATTTTCAACGTTTAATATTGAACCGGGGTCATTTTTCAACGTTGAATATTGAGACCAAAAGTCGTTGAATTTATACCCGGGGTCATTTTTCAACAGCTAGATATTTTTTTTTCTTACACCTGATGACGTCACAAGTTGAAAATTGACCCTGTTGAATATTGACCCCACCTCAAAGTTTGAACATTTTTTTAACTGGGAAGTTGTTTTATGGGATTTATCAGTATCACTTTATTATTATTTCGGTTTCAATTTTTTCCCTTTTCAAGAATAATAGAAATAAACATACAGTATTACCCCGTGTTAGTTAGAATAATCTAACTGTGTCTCGGTACAAGCCCTCACACGTTAAACTGGGTCCGTAGGACAATATCATTTTAACGATAGAACATTCTATCTAACCCCGTGTATACATGTACATTTTGAACAGTGCACGATTTCAGTTATCTTCAAGCATGACAACTTTATTTTTGACAATACTTTCCAAAATCCATGGCATCCATAAATAACTACAAAACAACGAATAGGGCATAAAACAAAAATCTTAAAAATCTGCAGTCTAGAAAGTAGCCCAATATATATATTGATCACGAAAATGATTCCAATGATAGGTTATATTTGTGAAAAGAGCAATATAGCGACCATAGCATGTAAGTAATGCTGACTTTAAATAATTTGTTGAAATCCCTGTAACTTGTCAGTAGCCTGTCTCGGCTTGAAAATTGATCGCTTTCGGACCATAAACTTGAGAATGAGATTATTCTTATTCTAAAACATTCTTACTCTATGGAATGTGATTCCTATTTGATTACTTGTTATTTCTATTTCATTATTTGTAATTTGTATTCGATAAATTGCTATTCCAATTACAGGAAATGTGACAATATGATTCATATATCATAAAATTTACATATTATTTTTTCTCGAAAACACGCGTTTCCTATTCGATGTCATTAATATTTAAAACAATCTGTTGCTAGTCGCTAATTTTGTCATTCCTATTCGATAATTTTATTTTTTTTTTATTCGATAATTATTTGGTTTATAATATGCAATAAAGTTGTTGTTCGAAAACATACTAGCATCCATTTCTATTCGAAAAAATACGATTCCTATTCGATAAACTTTTTATCTTATTTACATAATTTTATCTCTATGATCTCCTATCATGCGATGTTTTTTTTTTTTAATTCTTTTTCAATAATTGCCATGATTGCATTCTGGGAAATATGACAAATTAAAGTAGAATTTGTTGTAAACTCAATTAAATAGGAATGTGAAGTTTCACATTATTATCGAATATAAATCATTTTATTACATAGATTGACAAAACAAAATTTGAAAATTTTGGGAATAAGGCACAAGTTTTCTCTCTTCAAGACTTAGAGACTAGGGATCAGCATACATTAAGCTGTTGCTGTTTAATATTAAATAAATGTGTTTCGTTTTATACATTGATGGAGTAATTATAGAGGATGTAGTTATTCAGAATGCTAATTTAATTATTTGATTATGTCTCGTATCAATTTTTGACAAAGGTATCCAATATGTTTTAATATAAAGTACATGTAGATCCTAATTCAAGACTTCAAGGCATTGTTACGTCTCATCAATTACGGAACATAAAAAAATTAATATTAATACAATAATACATGTGCCTTGAGTTGTGATGATCAAAAGCATACATCTTTCTTACCTTTTCCACAGTCTTGCTCATTTCATTATTCACGTTAAAATTGTACACCGGTATATTACATGATATAAGGGTTCAGCCCGCACTTGTAAAACCGGTGATAATTCAAAACTACTCTTTACTATAACCACTTAAGTGCTGAAGATCTTGTGGCACGACAAGTTTACGTTTTCTATGACAACTAGGCAAAAATATATTTACCAAAAATGGGACTTTTTCTTGTAGTTGCTATACATGTGTATGATAATAATTTGACGATTCCTCCGTAAAGGATCTCATTTTGTTACATAGTTACAATTGTACAGGCTTGATAACTAGAGTATGTTATCTTGATTGAGATTAAAATGAAAAAGTTGTTCACGGTAAATATTTGGGGAAGTCCTTTTGAATTACATTGAATCATTATATGTACATATTTCCCGCTGCTTATGGAACGAAACTTCTTCATGGCGTTAGAATTAAAGTATTAAGAAACTGTGTTGTTACTGGTGTGATTACCTATGATTTTTATGCATCCGTAAACGTGTCCGTCCGTCCGTCTGTCTTGCCGTCTCTTTGACGAGCTGTCTGTCTGTTCGTCCGCAAAAACTTTAACCTTGCTCATAACTTTTGATTTAGTGGAGCCATGACTTACATATTTTACATGTGTATTCCATGTGACAAGACCTTTCTTTGGGTACCACCAAATTTTACCTTTTGACCTTGACTTGGTGTTTAACCCACTTTTACATGAAACTTTAAACTTTTAAACTATTACTTTGGTCATATCTTTTGAGCAGTAGACACCAGGACATTTGTACTTCATAAACATGTATGTATTTTTTGTTTAAAGACCTTTCATTGGATACCAACAACCTTGACCCTTTGACTTTGACCTTGTGGATTTCCGTAGTTGTGAAAAAACTTTAACCTTGGCCATACCTTTTGAACGTTAAAAAATAAGGCTTTGATATTTAATATATGTAATCCTTGTGAGAAGACCCTTCGTTGGATACCAAGAACGTTGACCGTTTGACCTTGACCTTTGAATTTGAACTTCTTAAAAAAAGCAAATCTTGACCATAACTTTTAAAAGGTTAGGGCTATAGTGCTTTCATACTTTACATATTTAATCCTATTGACAAGACCTTTCATTTGATAAAAAAAACTGTTGACCTTGACCTTGGAGTTTGACCTACTTATAAAAAAATTACCTTGGCTATAACTTCTTTAGGGATAGGGCTAGGGCTTCCATACTCTCTATACGTATTCTATGTGGCAAGACCTTTCATTGGATAACAATTACCTTGACCTTTTGAACTTGGACATTTTTGAACTTATTTTAAAAAATTTAATATGGGCCTACTTTCAAATTTTACAATTGTTTTCTGGTGAGAATACCCGAATATTGGTACCAATTAATTAAGTTTGCATTTAAGAAAAGTTTTATTTTCGCTATGTTGCCATACGGGGGCATCAGTGTTCCATAAAACACATTTTGTTTATTTATTTTACTGGGTTGAATTTTTGACCCAAAACGTACCTTATTATTTAACGAAAAAAAAAATCCAGCAGATCTCCATTTTTCCTATAGATCAATTTTGACAAATTTGTTATGTTCACGGCCAGTTTCCAGACAGTATCGTTGTCAGAAACCATTTAAGTTAAGCACTGAAAATGGCTCGTTCTCGAGAACACATACAGATGATGTTTTGATAAAATCCTTCCGTTAGCATTTAAAACATACAAAACTTTAAACAAAATGCTTAATATAAGGCGTTTTGAAAAAAAAATCTTAGAATAAATTTAAAGTTAGGGAAACAGATACAATATTCATTAATAGAATAAATGATTGATGTATTTGATGTCCACAATACATTTTCACCTCCTACAAATGTGTTCGGACCTTTTATTTTTCGGTGTTCTGCAAATTGCAAAACCAGATAAACTTAGAGTAGCTCTAGATCTGGTGGTGGCTCTGTCGAGAGTTAGTGAGACTCCAGCGAGATAGGGTAAATTATTCATGAAATGTAGCTAGTAAGTGACAAGCATGTAGAGACATGGTTAACAGGAAAGTTATGTTGCGCTTCAGTTTTCACTACTCTATTATATCTTTAAAAATGAATTTCAATCGATTTCTCTTGAATTCATTAAAACTTAAATAAATATTCTCTATGATACAATTTTCTGCAATCAGGAATTAAAATTTCTTTTCGGATAGATACTTTGGCATGGCAACTGGGACTATATTTTTTGGCTTCAGACTAGCAAATGAGGCACCGGCATGACTTTAACTGACAAATCAGCTGAATGAGAATTGCATCATGGGATACTACGAATACTACAGGAATTTTACGCTTGAAAAAAAA